TGAGCGAGCGATTTGGCCGCTGCATAAATTAGTTTGCTCTGGAACCCTCCTTCCGGAGCTAAGACAAAAAAGGTGTGAGCCGGAGGCTAAAGAACTGTGAGCTAGCTCACACTCACTCAGCTTAGAGGGAACACTGCCTGGGAGGTGGGCGGGGCTGAGCGAGCTCTCTCGAGAACTGCCCTTGCCAGGACAGCTCTGAGAGAACTTGTGAATGACCCAAGGTCACACCTGCAGCTGCATGTAGTGGAGTGTGGAATCAAACCCGGTTCTCCCAGATTAGAGTCTGCGTTTCTGATTCTGAGTAGACCCCACTTGGGACTGCCTCTTCATCTCCCATTCCCTCGCAGGCCCTGGGGGGGGGGGAATGTGACGAAAAACACGCTAGAAACAGAAAACCTCGTCATTTCCAATGCAGCCTTCTGTGTGGAAAAAAGCTGCCTTCAATCTTCCATGGCAGTCTGATGCGTCTGGACACTTGTTGAAGGGTTCCGTTCCCCGTAGCCCTGGGCTACGTTTCCTGAGCTGTGCTCACAAGCCTTTAGCGTCTCAACGGAATTAATCACACCGCCCTCTGCCAGCTTGGCATCGCACCTCCCGTCCTCCCCCCGGCCCCCTTTTTGGCAACGCAACGTGATCCAGCCTGACGGCCTGCCCAGAAACGGCGCGGAGATTTATAGGCAAGAGCTTTTAAACTTCACATCCGTTCAGGATGACAAAACAAGCGCCGATTCTCCCAGGGTGTTCCCTTGAAAGACCTCGGTGGAGTTTCACCGAGGCTGGATACTCAGCCGGTGGGTTTAGAGTGCCCACTCTGGATGGGGGAGATGCAGGGTCAAGTCTCCACTCGGCCATGAGGCTTGCTTGGCGACTTTGGGCCAGCCTAGCCTACCTCACAGGGTTGTTGTGCAGATATATTAGTAGGGGACCATCATGAGCGCCTGCGCTCCTTAGAAGAAGAGCAAGATTGAAAAATGGAAGAGACGGGTCAGTAACGGTCTCTAGGCTGCCTGGTATTTCGGATCGGCGCAGCGGTTTACACGAGAATCATGTTGGATCTGAAAATTAGGGCAACTGGCATCAGGCCCCCCATTTAAAAAAGGTGGCGCGTGAATGGCATGCATGCATCCTTAAGTGCCCGCATACATGTGCGAGGCAGCCCTGCTCTAGTGAAGACATCCCCCCCCCCCCCCCCCCGGTGAGGGTACACATGAGAACTTAAGGGACCTGGTCTCTGATTCAGATTTTACACATCTGCTGCCGTAACAACTGTGTGTCTCCACTGAACAAATGGATAATATCCGTTTACCAGCAGAAAAATACGACTGCTGTATGAGGTGCAGAGGCATGGATGGTAAACGGGCCTCCATCTCACTCATGCACTGGGATGACTTCCCCCTGTTTTTCCCTGCCCACTTGGGGTTAATGCCAGAGTCCTAAGGTAAAGGTAAAGAGTAAAGGTTTCCCTTGCTCGAAAGCTGGTCAAATCCGACTCTAGGGGGCAGTGCTAGTCTCCGTTTCCAAGCCGAAGAGCCAGCGCTGTCCGAAGACTTCTCTGTGGTCATGTGGCCGGCATGACTAGACGCCGAGGTGCACGGAATGCTGCTACCTTCCCACCAAAGCGGTACCTATTTATCTACTTGCAATCTCTTGCTTTTGAACTGCTGGGTTGGCAGGAGCTGGGGACGGAGATGGGAGCTCACTCCGTCACGCAGCACTTGGGTCTCGAACTGCTGAACTACCGACCTTCCGGTCCGCAGCTCAGCGTCTTAACCTCTGTGCCACCGTGGCCCTGCCAGAGTCCTAGCGTCAGCAAAAAGAGGGCAGATCAAGCTACAAAGGTGGCATCTCTAACAGCCCCGAGAGGGACTTTAGAAAGTGGGTGGGACCAGGCGGGGCGTTTGATTGGCTGTGTGGGTTTCTAAAAAGTTGCTTCGGCGGCAGCTGCCACCACAGTACAAGGAGCTTTACGTATGGAAGAAAATATTTTTAAACCATATTGTCATGATCTGGGCTGTGCCACCAGAGGCCTACTAGGCCCAGGGAGCCTGGCTAGCAGTAGGTGAGGCTGGGCCTACAACTCCCAGAAGCCCCTGAGAGGTTTTGGAGCCAAAATGGACCAATAGGAAAAGAGGAGGGCTTGGAATAAAAGATCTGGAGCAGCAGGAAAAGCTGTTCTTCTTCCCAGAGGGCAGAGCCAGAAGGAAGGCTGCTGCAGGGGAGAGACCCTCATCCTGAGGGAAGGGTGAGTAGTCTAGTGTCACTTGGGATAGTGAGCTAGGGACAGTATATATTTAGATGCGTTTGATTTCTTTTCTTTTCACCCACTTACTGTTATTATTCTGCACCTTGTTTGTTTGACCTCCTATAAAATAAACCTCTTCCTTGTACTCTGCCTGGTCCTCACGCCTGTTATTCGGCCAAACAAGGGAGGTCTGAAGGTCTTGGGAGGGTGCTCTGGGCCTTCTCGAGGGAACCTAAATCCAGACTGGTGGCAGCGCCAGGTGACACCCCCACCTGAGCCGTGACACACATACATATTTATTTATTTATTAGATTTCTATCCCACCCTTTCCTGAAGGTGCATTTTAAAAGGCAGCCTGTTAAGCAAAGCGTCTGCCTGAAATTTTAAAGACTCACCCATTAGAACAAATTTCGAGTCCAGCGGCTAATTATATTTATTGCCTTTATTATGTTTTCCCTTGGAATTAAACCCAAACAAGTGGTGACCGTATAAACTAAGCTTGTTATTCTAGTTTAGTCCCTGCATCTATGCTAAGCCGCTGCTCACCTTATTTATTTATTTATTTATTTAAATTTATAACCCGCCCTCCCCGCGAACGGGCTCAGGGCGGCGTACAGATGGGGCCAATGCCCAATACATAAAACATTAAAACTGCATTTTAAAAACATTCAGTGCAACATAAGTGCTCTCCACAACTACTAACAAGGGAACCGATACCGTCACCAGGATGGTATCCTTAGTGGCCACAGCTCCACGCAGTACCACCATTTTTGCACTCACGGCGAGTTGGTAATAAGGGCTAGGACAGATAGTAATAATCGCAGACAGATGGTAACAGTCGTGGCGGCTCCTACTCAAATGCCTGGCGGAAGAGCTCCATCTTGCAGGCCCTGCGGAACTGTGCAAGGTACCGCAGGGCCCGGATCTCCTCTGGGAGCTCATTCTACTTATATGTATGGACTGGTAACTTCCATTGCATTGTATCTGAACGAGTGTTTATACCCAGAATTAAACTTTGTTGGTCTTAGAGGTCCCGCTGGACCCGAAATTCGTTCTGCCGCTTTGGACCAACACGGCTACCCACCTGAGTCGCTATCAGAGTTATGCATGACCTCAGTCCCTGACACTGTGTGGTTGGCTCCACTCTTGTGGCAGACACTTGTGGCTGGCTCCCACACCAGCCTAAGCCAGGATTTCAAAGGCGCCCGGAGGCTCAAAGAGGTTGAGGACCCCTGTTATGAAGCAATCTGACCGGCCGAGAACACCACAAGCCAGTCCTCATTTCAGGTCTCCCGGAAAGCGATGAGGAAGGTCCCAGGTTCAATCTCTGGCATCTCCAGTTAAAAGGACCAGGTAGCAGGGGGTGTGGAAGACCTCTGTCCTGGGACCCTGCTGAGCTGCTCATAGTCGGAGGAGACAATCACAGAATCCGAGAATCACAGAGTCGGAAGGGGCCATCCAAGGGCCATCTAGTCCAGCCACCCTGGCTCGATGCAGGATCAGCCTAGAGCATCCCTGACAAGGGTTTCTCCAGCCGCTGCTCAAAGACCGCCAGGGAGGGGGAGCTCACCACCTCCCCAGGCAGCCCATTCCACTGTGGCACAACTCTGGCTGTAAAAAAAAACCCTGCCTCAATAAACCAGTGGTCTGACTCAGTAGGAACCTCCTGTGCTCATGAGGAATGTTATGGGAAGGGCTGTGGCTCAGTGGCAGAGCATCTGCTTGGCATGCAGAAGGTCCCAGATTAAAAAAACAAAACCCCACATCAAGGTATCTCCTATTAAAAGGCTCAGGTAGGAGAGCTGCTGCCAGTCAGAGTAGACAATACCAGGGGTCATTTCCTGCAGGAGCGCACAGGAGCGGAGCTCTGGCAGTAAAGAGCCCAGGGGGGCGGGCACATGCAACAAGCCCCGCCCCCTGCTCCCAGCAGCCCTCAGTCAGAGCAAGAAGCAGCCAGGTAAGTTGCAGAGCCCCCCCCCCAGCCCCCTGGTCCAAAACAGTCCAGTGGCACCTTTAAGACCAAGTTTTATTCAGGCACAAGCTCTCCCTCCTCTGTGCGGGCAGATCTGCACGTCCCCGTCCCCCCATAGCTAGCTATCCAAAACAGTCCAGTGGCACCTTTAAGACCAAGTTTTATTCAGGCACAAGCTCTCCCTCCTCTGTGCGGGCAGATCTGCACGTCCCCGTCCCCCCATAGCTAGCTATCCAAAACAGTCCAGTGGCACCTTTAAGACCAAGTCTTATTCAGATACAAGCTCTCCCTCCTCTGCGAGGACAGATCTGCACGTTCCCCCCCCCCAATAGCTAGTTATCCAAAACAGTCCAGTGCCACCTTTAAGACCAAGTTTTATTCAGGTACAAGCTCTCCCTCCTCTGCGAGGACAGAACTGCACGTTCCCCCACCCCCAATAGCTAGCTATCCAAAACAGTCCAGTGGCACCTTTAAGACCTAGTCTTATTCAGGTACAAGCTCTCTCTCCTCTGCTCTGCACGTTCCCCCCCCCCATTAGCTAGCAATCCAAAACAGTCCAGTGGAGCCTGAGCGGTGGGTGTTGCCTTCCGACACGCTTCCGGTGACGTCAGGGGGTGTGGCCTATGCAAATGAGTTATGCTAATGAGTTATGCTGAGCTCCTGCACCTCTTTTTCTACGAAAGGACCCTTGGACAATACTCCCCTGGACAGACCAAGGGTCTGACTCCGTCGGAGGCAGCCGCATGTGTTCACGTGAGACACTGCCCCCTTTCCCATACGACCTACCTGCTCAGACAGACGCGGGAGACCAGTGAGAGCAGGAAGGTGAGCAGCACGCAGGCGGGCCCGGAGGCCTGCTTCAGCAGCTCCACGATGATGCTGGCTTCCACCCCTTCCGACTGCCAGTGGGTGAGCTTGACGGGCCCCTCGTCGTACCTGTCCTGCGTGAAGAGCAGCCGGCTCTGGGAGACCGTGTCAAACAGGGCGGCGAGTTGAGAGGCCTTCTCCGCCTTCCAGTCCGGAGAGGCGGCACCGGCGGCCACCCCCGCCTCCCGGACGCAGGGCGGGTGCAGCTGCGAGAGCATCACTTTGCGCTGGTCGTAATAGACCAGGATGGTCTCGTCTCCCTCGTCGCCGCCGGGACGTCTCCGCGCGGCGCTGCAGCTCCAGAACTTGCTGCCGTGCTCCTTGCCGAGCTGGACCCAGGGGTCGTGGGAGAAGATGGTGCCCAGGTCTTCGAGGAACCGGTCCAGGCTCTTCTCCCCCCTTGCCGGTGTGCTGTGGGTCCAGGAGCCCAACACCGAGACCGCGACCTGGGTCGCGCGCCGCACCTCGGCCAGGTACTGCTTCACCTGGCCCGGGACAAAGGGGAAGTGGACCACGGCCAAGACCACGGCAGAGTTCTGCTCCGGGATCCATCGCCCCACCAGGAGGCCACTCTCGGCCGAGGAGCAGCAGGTGGGGAAGAAGACTTTGGGCCCCAGGGCGGGGGGTGGGGGACGCCGGGGGGGGGGTTGCCAACACCTAAGTCTACCCAGCTGCTTCTGTGTTTAAGACTCCATGTCGTTATTCTCGTCAGAGAGCAGAGTAACGATAGCTGGACAGCTCAGAACTAGGACTGCGAACCTCCAGATGGGGACCGGTGTTCTCCTGGAATCACGACTGAACCCCAGACGACAGAGATGAGTTCTCCTGGAGAAAAAGAAGAAGAAGGAGAGTTGGTTTTTGTACCCCGCCCTTCACTACCCGAAGGAGTCTCCGAGCAGCTTACAATCCCCTTCCCTTCCTCTCCCCACAACAGACACCCTGGGAGGGAGGCGGGGCAGAGAGAACGCTTTCCAGAACGGCTCTTTAGAGAACTCTGAGAGAACTTGTGACTGACCCAAGGTCACCCAGCTGGCTGCATGCGGAGAGTGGGGAATCAAACCCGGTTCTCCCAGATTAGAATCCGCACACTTAACCACTACACCAAACTGGCTCTCCACTACACCAAACTGGCTCTCCACCAAATGAGGAGGGAGCCCTCACTGGAGAAGCCCCTGATGCTAGGAAGGACTGAAGGTCAAAGAAGGATGAGATGGTTAGACAGTGTCATCGATGCAACGAAGTTGAGCAAACTCCAGAGGACAGGAGGGCCTGGGGTCCATGGGGTCGCGAAGAGTCAGACTCGACTGTGTGACTGAACAACAAAAAATCCTGTCTGTTGCAGTCAGGTGGCAAATGGGATTCTGACGCCGAAATGGGTTTTTGCAGAAGCCTGCTTTATAGTCCACCGCTCTTAACCACTGCACCGCACTGGCTCTCAGCATCAAAGGGCGGGGTCTATGGCATTGAACCCCACTGAGGTCCCCCCCCAAAACACCTGCTCTGCTCAGGATCCAGCTCTCAGCCAATAATTTCCAAGCCTGAATTTGGCAGCCCTGTTCAAAACTCAAGAAGGGATCCCGAAATGCAAACTGAAATAACAATCTTAGCACTACTGCAGCAGTTTCAGCATCCCGCACTGCAGTCCTAGCCAGGGTGAACCCTCTTCTCTAAGCCTGTTGACTGGCTGACGTAGAGAGGTACAAGTCCGCTTAGGATCACCCTGCAAAGCAGTTCAGGTACGCTGCCTTACAACAACTTTGTCAATTAGACCAGCACTATTGTCCCCACATCGGTGGGGGGTTGGGGGAGACTGAGAAAACTGCTCCCCTGAGACAGTTCAGCTAAAAAGAGAGGAAACGCAAGAGCTCCCGCAAGAGATTCCACTATCTATATATCGCTCCAGTCCATTTGTATCCCCCCCACCCTCCCCGGTTCCTCCAAGGAGCTCAGAGCACAACCTACACGGTTGCCTCTTCCAATGTTCCCTCTAAGCCATGGAGTCCTGTGAGCGAAAATTCTACTTTGTGAGCTACCGTCATTAAAGTTGTGAGCGAGCGATTTGGCTGCTGTATGAATTGGTTTGCTCTGGAGCCCCATCCTTCCTGAGCGAAGACCAAAATGTGTGAGCCGGAGGCTAAAAAACTGTGAGCTAGCTCACGCTGACTCAGCTTAGAGGGAACACTCTCTTCCTCTTTTCATCCTCATGATAACCATGTGTGTGACTGGCTCAAGGTCACTCTGCAAGCTTTCAGGGCAGCACGTGGATCTGAACTCGGGTCTTCCGGATCCGATCCGACCGTCTCTCCTAATACAAAACTACGTCGTGACATTTCGTTTGTTCGTCTACTTCATTTATATCCCGCCTTCCCCCCCCCATGGGGACCCCAAAGAGGATTCCATCTTCCTCTTCTCCTCCGCTTATCCTCGCAACGACCCTGCAAAGCCGGCTAGCCTGAGGCGCGTGCGATTTGCCCACCAAACTTCCAGTGAGGATTCGAACCTGCTTCTCCCAGATCCTAGCCCGACACTCTAACCGCCAGACCGCAATGGCTCTCTCGATATATATAGTTTGCAACACGCTGCAGAATTCCCTGAAATAACACATTGCGTAATTTACCTAGTGGGAAAGACTTAATCCTCAAACTGCTGACTTTCATGTGGCCTTTTCTCTGGAGACTCAGAGATGTGTATTTTTTCACGTGGAAGGTGATCCAGGGAGCCTCTGCTTCAAGCCATGGCCCTAGGAGCACAGACTCACAGAATCACAGAGCAGGGAGGGGCCCTAGAGGCCATCTAGTCCAACCCGCGGCTCAATGCGGGATTGGCCTAGAGAGCATCCCTGACAAGTGTCTGTCCAGCTGCTGCTTGAAGACTGTCCAGGGAGGGGGAGCTCACCACCTCCCTAGCTAGCTGATTCCACCGTTGCACAACTCTGACTGTCCAAAAGTTTTCCCTAAGATCCAGTTGGGACCTTCACGCCCCGAATTGAAACCCACTATTGCGAGTCCTCTCCTCCGCTACCAACAGGAACAGCTCCCTGCCCTCCTCCTCTAAGGGACACAGCCCTTCAGAGACTTTGAGAGAGCCATCCTGTCCCCCCTCAGCCTCCTCTTCTCCAGACTGAACATTCCCAAGAAGTCCCTCAGCCTTTCCTCATAAGGCCTGGTCTAATGCTTGCTGGTTTCATGCCCCGAGTCAGGACCACCCAAATCCCCGCCAGGCATTTATCGCTAGGGTCAACATCTCCTTTTCTTGCAGGGCTCGTCTGCAAGAGGAAACCGAGCAGGAGCCGCCTTTCCCTGCCACTTACCAACCTCTGTGTCCTTATTACCAACCCGTGTGTCCTTCAAGTCCTTATTTTCTGTGTGTCAGAAAGCCACCCAAGGCCTAGCCGATCTGGCTAAGTAGCACTCTCAACACCAGCTGCACAGTTCGCGGGTGGTACTTTCCCCGCCAGTAAACGGCTCAAGAGTCAGCAAGGAGGCAAACTGGACCTCTCTGGCCTGTGACTCCTTAGACAGGAAGGTAAACATAAGAACATAAGAGAAGCCAATGTTGGATCAGGCCAAAGGCCCCTCCAGTCCAACACCCTGTAAGAACATAAGAACATAAGAGACGCCAATGTTGGACCAGGGCAAAGGTCCATCCAGTCCAACACTCTGTGTCACACAGTGGCCAGAAATACCAGGGGCCATCAGGAGGTCCAGCAGTAGGGCCAAGACACTAGAAACCCCTCCCACTGTCCCTCCCCCCAGCACCAAGAAGAAGAAGAGATCGGATTTATATTGGATTTATATTCTTCTTCCTTATTCCTAGTAAGAACATAAGAGAGGCCTACGTTGGGTCAGGCCAGTGGCCCATCCAGTCCAACACTCTGTCACACAGTGGCCAAGAATGCCAGGTGCCATCGGGAGGTCCAGCAGTGGGGCCAGGACACTAGAAGCCCTCCCACTGTTGCCCCCCCCAAGCACCTAGAAGACAGGGCATCCCTTGCCCCAGAGTCCCTATCTATACCTTGTAGCTAATAGCCACCGATGGACCTCTGCTCCATATGTATAAGAACATAAGAGAAGCCAATGTTGGATCAGGCCAAAGGCCCATCCAGTCCAGCACTCTGTGTCACACAGTGGCCAAAAGTACCAGGTGCCATCAGGAAGTCCACCAGTGGGGCCAGGACATTAGAAGCCCTCCCACTGTTGACCCCCCCTCCCAAGCACCAAGAAGACAGAGCATCCCTTGCCCCAGAGTCCCTATCTGTACCTTGTGGCTAAGAGCCACTGATGGACCTCTGCTCCATACGCTTATCTAATTCCAAGGTGCCAAGGAAGGACAAAGGCATTACACGCCTCATTTTCACATTAACCTTGGTGAGCAACTCTGAATATTTCAGGCGACACCCAGCCCTCAGTTGCTATAAACAGAGATGAAATGTGGTGCCCAGAACTAACTGACGTTGTCTCTTTAAATAACTCATAAGTATCATCCCCGTAAGGACGGGGCTAGCCTCGGGGTACCCACAGCACTGTCCTTCAGCGCCGCACCAGGGATGTGATGTGAAAACTCCAACCGCCCCCCAGGCCGTACCCTCTGCGATGGACTCGGCTGATTGGAGAAGAACTCCCTGTCTGTGTAGGATGTGCTGTTGATCGTGAAGGACCTAGCTGGACTTAAATTTTTAAAAAGGATGACCGATTCTTTCCGGCAAGACGTTCTAAACCAAATAAAACGAATCACAGGTTACGAAGTACCATTCGACCCAACTCTAATCTCTTTGGGCATCTGGAAAGCAAAAAAATATACCAACGTTCAGTCGCGAATGGATCACTCGCCTCATAAAAAAGGTAAAGGTTCCCTTGCTCGAAAGCCAGTCGAATCCGACTCTAGGGTCGCGGTGCTCATCTCTGTTTCCAAGCCGAAGAGCCAGCGCTGTCTGAAGACTTCTCCATGGTCATGTGGCCGGCATGACTAAACACTAAGGCGCACGGAACGCTGTGACCTTCCCACCGAAGCGGTACCTATTTATCTACTTGCAATTTCTTGCTTTCGAACTGCTAGGTTGGCAGGAGCTGGAACGAGAGACGGGAGCTCACTCCGTCATGCGGCACACTTGGGTCTCGAACTGCTGAACGACTGACCTTCCACAGCCTGCAGTTCAGCGTCTTAACCACGTGAGCCACCGCAGCTCCCACTAGCCTCATAGTGGCTGCTAAAATAGTGGTTGCTAAAACATCGATAGCCTCTAAATGGAAACCAGGCAAGGCTCCAACACGTACCAACTGCCTAAACAAAGTTTGGGATCACCTTATATTAGAAAAAATCACTGACCATTTCCTTCAATCAGGCATCAGTCCTAAATCATCCAATTTTACGGAGAAATGAACCCCGTTCATGGAATATATCTCAGCTTCAGATTCTCAACCCCAAAACTCTTTATACGTAAAATTACTAGACTACTAAACTTTACCTCTTTGCCCATACTGCAATGCCTAGTTGTGACATTGTTATGATATAATTAAATGGGACACACGCTATTACTTCTTTGCATTCGCTCATGTTTATATTTACCTAAACACAAGGGTTATAGGTACTAAACTGAGTTTATTGACAACAAAGTAAAAATACTAGTACTATATTGTTTTGCAAACTAGGTATGCTGTTTATGCTGTTCTGTAAGTTCAATACTACTGACTATTATTTACTTTTGAGAAAAAAATTAATAAAACTAATACAATAATTTTTTTTAAAGGATGACCGATCTGTTTAGCGGCCAGGCTTCTGAGGCTTTGCTCTGGAAAAGATGCCGCCAATTTGCGTCCTGGATGCGCCTCAACGCCCGGGCAGATCCGCTCCGCACAAAACACCAGCCTGTCAAATGCCGCAGGAGGCGATGTCTGTTCATGGATGGCTTCCCAGCCCCCCCGAGGCAGAAAAGGGACGTCTTTTTGGTAACACGTCCTACAAACTGGTAGCGAGAGTGGGAGGGCAGTTAGCGGGCATTGAAGGCTGACTCTCCTCCGGCCCTTTTCGTTGTACGACCGCTGAAGAACACTCAATAGAAGCAGATGCGTGCCCATGGAGACCGTTTATTTAGGGCAGGGATTCGGTCACACAGCCCGGTGGCGCGGCTGGGGCAGAGAGAGCTCTCGCAACGGGAAAGGAGACCTTTTACCGAGGGAAGGCTGCCCCAAATCATCACAATCTCCTGCAATCTCACAGGGGCATCAAAAATTATGGAAATTATACATCACGGCAAAGCTCACAGACAATCTGGATAAAATGTTGAGGCCCTCTAGGCCAGGGGTGTCGATCTCATTTCTTAGGAGGGCCGGATCGGACATAAATGAGACCTTGTTGGGCCGGGCCATGCGTGTCATAAAATGTAATGCCAAGTAGCAGAGACGTAAACTTTATAAAGGACACAAACACAATTCAACAGTGTCTGATAACTGACACCTCTTGCTCTGAATTATTGCATCAAAAGGTCTGTGCTGTTGCAATCTTGAGTAAGCTGCTCAGGTGTGTATCTGTAAGCGGCAAACCTACGATGACGCAGCAGTGGCAGAACTGGAAGAAGAAGCAGAAGACAGCCAGTTCCACTGCAGGCCTGATAGAAGCCCTCTGGGGGCCTGATCCGGCTCTCGGGCCGCATGTTTGACACCCATGCTCTAGACAGTCTTATTTTTCCTCTACATGGTTACCTATACTTGAATATTTGTTCTCTCAAGGGGAAATTCCTCAATTAGTGGTTGATCTTGGATTATAACGATCTTTTCGGTTTACATATTGATTGCACAGTTATGTTTTAGTTATATATCAGACAGAATGGTTACTGTTCGCCTACTCAGAGAAATTTTGAGGTTTATATTCTGCTTTACAAAGTGTACGTGTATTCTTCTATTTTAACATACTTCACCTGTATCGTTACTTGTTCTTTGTTAATTATTACTAAAATGTTAATTGCAAGGGGGGGGGAAGTGAAGGCTGCCCCCTCCCCGTGGACAGCATCCTGGGGCCTCTGAAACAGTAGCATCCCCCCCCCTTCTTTGGCTGGAAGAAGTGTAGGCCCTGTGTGCTCGGTGTAGGCCCTGTGTGCCAACTTGCTACTCAGGGGTCCTTTCGTAGAAAAAGAGGTGCAGGAGCTCATTAGCATAACTCATTAGCATAACTTATTTGCAAGATGGAGAGATCGCGCCCCTTCTTTTTCATGTGCGTGCAAGAGAAGGAAGTGAGAGAGCGGAAGCAGAGGAGATTGCCCCTAAGAGTCGCAGTCTACTTCAAAAGAAAGGATCAGATAGCAGGAAGGAAAGGATCCTCTATGTATCCTGACCTCTCTATCCGTTTAAATTCTTCGGTGCCATCTTCTCAAGTTTGAGACAGGAGACAGCGCAGAGGCCTCCACTTCTAGCAGGAGGCAAATTAATCTGGACTCCGGGACAAAGACTGTGTTAGTGTGAGCTAGCTCACAGCTTTTTAGCCTCCGGCTCACACATTTTTGTCTTAGCTCAGGAAGGTCAGCTCCAGAGCAAACTAATTTATGCAGCAGCCAAATCGCTCACTCACAGCTTTAATGCCAGCATCTCACAAAGTAGAATTTTTGCTCACAAGACTCCACAGCTGGAAGTGTGTCAGAAGGCAACACCCACCGCTCAGGCTCCACTGGACTGTTTTGGATTGCTAGCTATTGGGGGGGGGGAACGTGCATATCTGTCCTCGCAGAGGAGGGAGAACTTGTGCCTGAATAAAACTTGGCCTTAAAGATGCCACTGGACTGTTTTGGACCGGGGGGGCCAGGGGAGGGGGGGCTCTGCAACTTACCTGGTTGCTTCTTGCTCTGACTGAGGGCTGCTGGGAGCAGGGGGTGGGGCTTGTTACATGTGCCCGCCCTCTGGGCTCTTTACTGCTGGAGTTCCGCTCCTGTGCACTCCTGCTGGAAATGACTCCTGGCTGGAAGGAAAAACCAGAGAGTTCCAAACAGCTGAGTCCTAGGGAGGAACCATGTGTTCCTTTGGCAAAGGTGCAGGCCCAAAACTGTACAGTGGGGGTGTGTGGGGGATCTGTAAAAGAAAGCAGGCAGGCAAGACGCAGGAGAGAGGGGTATGGGTGAATTCTCTGTCCCCCCAAAAAACATCTGAATCTTGTAGGATTAATGTCAATTTTTGAGCCCAACGGGGGCAGATGGGAAGCAATTTCATGCCTGGGGAAGCATTAAGCCCCCCCTCTTGGCAAACGCCCTACGTTTATGTATTTTATTGACGTTATTTAGCACCCTGCCTTCCTCACGGGGGACTTGAGGCGGATGACGCAGAGTGAGCCAGTACGACCACAGAAACAGGACATTCAGTAGCCAGTGCACTTGGATTTGGGAAGTCTGGTACCACCAGGAAGAACCACATTTGAGCACCAGGGTGAGGTCGTGGTTACTGTGTCAGAACAGGATCTGGGAGACTCGGGTTCGAATCCTCGCTCTGCCCTGGCAGCTTGGTGGGCGGACCTTGGGCCAGTCACACAGCTCTCCGCCGAACCCACCTCACGGGTTCTGCCGTTGTGAGGATAAAATGGAGGAGGGGGGAAAGGCAGGATACAAATATCTAAAAACGTTGATTTGCTTACACCGCCTTGCCTGGCATGCGTGGGTCTGCCCTTAGAACGTCCAGTAATTACAAAAGGAATGCCGCCGAGCACGAAGCAAAAAGACAGGGTGAAACAAATCCAAATTGAGAGAATGACCAGGGATACAAGAGCGTGAACGAGGTCAGGTGAACCAGGGGTGCAGCACGCGCGAACACAGGAGGGGGCAGAGAAAATCCAGGCCTGCCCCTCAAATTAGCATCACAGGGCGTTTCTCAGGCTCCCCAAGGCTTGGTCCTCTGTTTGGTAGCAGACCAGATGGATATGCCCCTGAGAGTTTAATGTGGTGCAACGGAGACATGGGCAGCTCAGTCCACCGGCTTTTGTGGTGCTTCAAAAGAACTCCTTGCAAAACTTGTTTGACCAGAGAGAGCAATGGGACGAGAAAAGAGCACGTTTACCCCAAAGCAAACAAACACGCTTCCTCCAACTTCCCTAAACATTCATGCCTATTTCTGGCCTAAAAAGAAGGTCCTGTGCT